GGGAGTGATCCCATGGTCAGGAATACTAAAGGAGAAGGGAGTCCAGGAAGGGAGTCTCAAAAGGGAGATACTGAAGGCACAATCTCAAACTGTTCCAATGAGAAGGAAAAATGGGAGGTGTCTCAAGAAACCGGGTTGGATGACAAAAGAACTTTCAACTGAACTAATGGGGGATGCAAGCTACAGGAAAAGAGATTCCACCTCAACATTAGGAGGCTCTTCCTGACAGTAAAGGCTGTTCGACAATGGAACACACTGCCTCAGAGAGTGGTGGAGTCTCCTTCTTTGGAGGTCTTTAAACAGAGTCTGGATGACTATCTGTCAGGGATAGTTTGATTTTGAGTTCCTGCATGGCAGGGGGTTGGACCCTTTGGTCTCTTCCAACTCTATGATTCTATGTATTCTAGATGTACATAATTTAAAGTGTAACATTAGTGGGGTTAAGGATATGGTTGAATGTTTCCCCATGGGAAAAAATGTATCTAGCACAACAGAGTGAGCACAATGTAGTGTTTTGAACAGGGGTAGGCAACCTTTCCCCTTTAAGGGCCGAGGGACTTCAGCTCCCAGAATCCCAGGAGCTATTGGCCAACATGGGATCATTGGCCAACATGGCTGAGGCTTCTGGGATCTGAAGTCCCTAGGCCCTTAAAGGTGAAAGGTTGCCTACCCCTGGTTTTGAGTGTTGGAGTAGGAGTCTGGGAGACCAGAGTTTGAGTCCTCACTCCACCATGGAAATTTATTCAGTTGTTGTTTTGTGCTTTTGAAATTGTTTTCAACTTATCATGGGTTTCCTGGAAAGATTTCATCAGAGGAAGTTTGCCATTGCTTTTTTCTGATGATGAGAGAATGTTACTTGCCCAACATCCATGAGTGTGTGAGCAGGGATTTGAACCCTGGTGTTCAGAGTCCTAGTCCAACACGCAAACCAGTACACCACACTGGCTTTCAACTTACTAGATAACCTTGGGCAAGTCACAGTCTCTTAGCCTAAGTGGAAAGCAATGGCAAACCTCCTTAAAATGAATCTTGCCAAGAAAACCCAAGAGCACCATTGCCATAAGTCACAATCCACTTGAAGGTACAACAAACACAACAGGAAGAAAGATTGCACTAGAATTTATCTAGTGTGCTTGTGTTTTAAAATATGTATTTAGAGGGAACCACGTATGTGCCACACAGCCTGTCCTGCAACCGCTAAATGTCCCTAAATGGGACTTTTGTGATAAAGAACACTAACCTAAAAATGCAAAATGTAAATGTCTTGGGTCAGTTGTACATACAGGAGCTCTTTGGGTAAGATCTGAAGAGTGAAAGCTCCCAGGGTGCTGCTACATTGCTGAATTGATGCAGTTTTACACTGTTTTTAACTATCATGGCTCCATTCTATGGAATCCTGGGATTTGTAGTTTGTAGCCAGAGCTCTGATAGAGAAGACTAAATATCTCAAAAAACTACAAACCGCAGAATGCCATAGAATTGAGCCAAGGTAGTTAAAATGGTGCCAAACTGCATTAATTCTGCAGTGTAGACGCAGCCCTAGACTGAAGGAACTTTAAGTGCTGAAGACTTAATCAGTAAGAAACCTACCTGCTCATGCATGCAACAATGATGATTTGAGCTAATGCAGGAAGCCAACCCTCCATTTTTTACTTTTAAAACAGAATCTGGTAAAGCAGGCAAAAGTCTACCTACCTATCTTTGGTTTGGGCAACACAAAACAGAAGGGATTATCTTAAAAGACATAATGAAAAAAATCTTTATATTTTTTTAAGTGATCCAAAATTCAACTAATATTTCCAGTTGGCAAGACTGGAAATTCCTTATTAATTAAATAATTTATATCTTGTTGTCCCAATAGATTTCCATCCACCCACAGGGCATTTTAGAGCACATAAATACAGCAAAAATGCAATCACTAAAAGCACACCATCAAAATGAATGTGATAACTGTCATATAAAAAACAGCATAAAACAGATTTTGCCAGGAATGGACTGAGCAATGTGGGGATGAGATGGGAGTTGCAACATTGCTTCTCTAAGGCCTGTTGAAGGGGGGGGGGGGACTTTTTGCACCTCTTGTTTCTTTTTAGTTTGTCTTTAACCTGTCTGCTTTCCCTCCTAGTGGTTCCAAAGAGAAGGAACGTAACTACCAGCAGCTTCAGGGTGAGTAAAAAAGAGGACAAAATAGGACATTTATTTGGATAGAAATGTATATTCAGACTGATATTTATAAATGCAAAACTAAAAATATTTTTTATAATTTAAATTTTTACAATGCCTTTCACCTGAGCACAGAAGGCTGTTGGTGAGCTGCACCCTTGCCAAGTCTGCTATCCAGGTGCTAATGGTGCTAATGGTGGACGAGCAACTGCTCTCCCTCCTTATGGTTCTTTCATGTTTAAATCAAACATGGTCTGGAGTGGACAGTCCTTCAAAGACAGCGTACTTTAAAACAGAAGACTGTCCTCCAGCAACTGTTCAAATAGAGGACTCACTGCTGTAAAAAGAGGACATGTGGTCACCCTAATGGTGTGTTTCTGGGGAACAAAGGGATTTTAGATTCAGACTTGATCTTAGTTCAGATCTATAGCCTCTATACTTGATATTACAATTGTTTTTGTTAGAACAAGCCAAAGTACCGTAGTAAGTTTTCTATTGCCAGTTGGGCATTAGTTGACAATCTCCCCCAACAACTACCGTAATAGCCCTCTTTGTTCACAGAGGCAGGTTTCAATATCGTGTGCCACCTCCCCAATAACAGCCTTCCATGGATCAGAGCATTGCACCTAAAAACTGCATTATGTATACCTAAATTAAAGAGGGGTTGTCTGCTGTCAAAAAGTGTAGTACATTAGGCCCTTGGTTTGGTTCCAGGACCCCTGTGGATACCAAAATCTGTGAATACTCAAGTCCCATTAAATAAAATGGCATATTAAAAGGGTGTCCCTTATATAAAATTGCAAAAAATAAGTTTGCTTTTTGGAATGTATGTATTTTAAAAAATATTTTCAAACCATGTATGGTTGAATCTGTGGATAAAGAATCCATGGATATCATATGGAGGGATGACTGAACAGAGTGAGCACTAGGAAAACATTCGTAAGGAGTATTTCAGTAGGTGCCACTGCTGAGAAGAACTTTTTCCACCTGAATTCAATAGGCTGGATCAAGAAGTAGTCACTGTAGACCTATGATTAACTTGTGTCATTTATTTCAATGGGTCTACTCTGAATTGATCTAATTTGGGATCCAACCCAGTGTATATGTAGCAAAAGCAAGCATCAAATTACAGTAATGTAGAATAATTACAACCAGGTGCTGCCAGAAAGCTTTCAGCACAATCTGTTATACATTTACTTGCAAGTCAGTCCCATCTGGTTGTATCCATATTGTGTAGACTCATCAAATCCAGTGGAATTTAAATTAGTCACAACCAACCATTTTTCCCTATTCATTGCAGAGGGTCTACTTGAAGGATGGAGAACCGGCATGGTGTAATGGTTTGAGCATTGGACTATGACTCTGGAGATCAGGGTTCAATTAGCCACTTGGCTGTGGAAACCCACTGGGTGACCTGGGGTGAGTCACATGCTCTCAGCCCAGAAAACCTTGTGACAGCTTTGCCATAAGTCTGAAATGACGAACACACACAGGAACAACTTGAAGGATGACTAATTCTGGATTTGATAGAATAAATTCAGTGGGATTTACTTTTGTGAATTGCTCTGTGCTCTTTTAAGAATTTTAATTTGACTTTGGCTATTCTATGGATGCTGTGGACTGCTAAAGAGACAAATAAATGGGTTCCAGAGCAAATCCAGCCTGAACTTTCCCTAGAAGCCAAGATGACAAAAACTGAGACTATCATGTTTTGGACATATTATGAGAAGACATGACTCCCTAGAAAAGACAATGATGTTGGTAAAATAGAAGTCAATGAGAAAAGAGAATGACTGCATTACAGAAGAGTAGACCCATACACCCAAGCAATGGCCGTAAGTCTGTAAGACCTGAGCAGAGCTGTTAATGACAGGGAGACTTGGAAGTCTCTAGGGTCAACATAGGTTGAAGTCACCTTGATGGAAGTTAACAATACCATAATAGTTGTTATTAATTCAATGGTTCCTTCATATGTGGGCACTAGGTTTAATTGGCTGTAAACCTCTATTTGTCTAATTGCTTCAGTGTGAGTTTTGTTGTTCTAAGTCCATGGTCCTTGATAATGAACGCTGCCAGTTTAAAATGGGCTATGATGACTTTGCATTATTATTTTTTAATTTTTAAAAATGTGACTTTGGGACAAGGCAATCTCATTATCATGGCTTAAAATGGAAGTGGGAGAAGTGTGGCTTTCCAGATGTTGTTGGACTGCACCTCCCATTATCTGTCACAATTTGCACATTAGCAGGGCAACATCTGGAGGGCCACGTGATCCCAGCCTTGGCTTAACAGTATGCCCATCTTCTTTGATGCATTGGGGCCCTATGATAAATTGTATGTTCCATTTGCTAATTTCTGATTTCAGCAGTTAACAACATCCAACATTTTACATTAAAAGAAGAGACGGAATCCCCCAGCCATCCCACCCCTCTCCTCGATGCTTTGTTAAATGTGGAAAGTAAGAAAAGCACATTTTTATTATTTTTCAGAAAAAGTCTTTGATATTAATATCATTTATTACAATAAAGAACAGTTAAGCAGCATGGGAAAAATATATCTTAGCTACATTAACTCAATTGGCAAAAATATACACATCTTTTCCTCTTATTTAATTAAAAATCACAACAACCAAGGAGGGAAGGGAGTGTTAGACACAGGCAATGCTCTAAAATGAAACATTAGCATCAAAAGATGGGTAAAAAGTATACCCCAGTGCAACCAAAAATAGAACTTATACATCTTTTTAAAAAGTTTTAATTTTTTTGTTTTTGTTCTCTTCCTACCAAGAAAGAGATTCTGGTGCTCTGTCCCAGTGTGCTTTCAAAGCATGTTCCCAGCCTGCTTTAAGCATGACTTTCTATTCTGGATCTTCAATCCCATGCTAGGATTCTGATGGTGGAGTTTCAAGTCAGTTTCCTGGGACACTGTTTCTAACATTGTTTTCTGGATAGCTACTTCAGGTGGGGAAAGGTGTGGAATGGGCGATCAGAATCAAAGATCATTTGGAGCAGTAGTCACTGGTTAATCCCATTTTGTTGGGGCGATGAATCAATTCCAGGTGCTGGCTAGCAGCTCAGCACCTGGGCAGCTTTAAACCAGGAGTTAAAACTTGGAATAGATCCTCTGCCCCACTGACATGGGAGCCACCAAACACCACTGGTTTGGAACACCTTCCCTTTGGGGAAAGGCTACAGTATTATAAAAAGATAGAAATATAGAACTGGAAAAATTATCAAATCTTATTTAGCCCCAATGTAAGATTTAGCTGATGTAAGATTTTTACCACCATATTATTTCCAACAGGTGGTCACTAAATCTGAATATCAGCTGGAGAGTGAAAGATAGCTGGCTTTGCACCCTTCTTCTGGGCCTTTGAGGGTCAAGTGTCTGGTCACTGTGGGAAGCAAGATGCTAAAACAGATTGGCCTTTGGGTCAGACCCAATAGGGTGGTTATGGTCTTGCCCATTGAGTGCTAACATTCTCTAGGCTTGATCCAGCTATGCAATCAATGCCCCATCCATAGGGCAAGATGAAGCAGTAAAATTTGGGTGCGTTATGATGGCAAGAGGTTTGACCAACCCATTCAGACACAATCCCCCAGAAAGCTTTCCTTCCCAAGAAGACTGTAGCACTCCTTTCTCTCTAAAATTGATCCAGTGTGACTAACTGAACTGAGCTCCATTATTTGAGATTTCTATTCTCTTATCAACATTGGCTGGCATCCTGTTGGGAAGTTATGTCATTGTAAACCAATTTAGGATCACAAAAAGTTGCATTGCAGC